AGCCACTCTGGTTGCAAAAATAACTTTCCAAATATGTACCAATATAGTGTCGTCTTCTTTGCAGACAAAGAATTCTGAAAATCTCCAAAATAGCTCTGAGAAATGTTATGTGCCACTGTTCAAGTGAACATAGTGTTCTCTCAGAAGCCTAATGATGACACGTTAATATCAACATTGTCAGTTAGTACACTGATGATTATTTTAAGGGAAACAACTCTCAGCACCTGCATCTACCCCTCAGTTTGAGCTTCAGTCTGGAAGGCAATGTGTTTTTCCTTGCTGCAGCCAGCAATTGCTTATCATCATCTTTTTTCAGTGTGGTCTCTGATAGCTGCTTCCTTCCAGGAGAAGGGAATAGACTTCTCAAACAACTGTCACATGAAGGTGTAAAAACAGTTAAATGTAAATGTACTCTTTGAAGACTTACATAAAGGCATTTTATATGAATGGCACATATCCTAAATATGACTGACACTCAAAGGTCTCTTGTTGCACTGGATAATTATGGCTTTAAAAAAATTAGTTAGGATAGCTAGTGGAAAATCCAGAGTTTATGTTTTTATGGTCTTTCTTTTATGAGACTTGTAGAGACTTAAAATGATCATTTATCAACAAAAAACCCAACCCAGTTTCTGTCACTACTTGATTGTGGAAATAGCTTTCCTTACGTTTCAGAAAACTGTGCAAGCAATACAGCAGCACGGGTAGGCATTACATCTTCACTGAGTAGCTGCTTTCAGAACCTTGTTAGAAATCAACTAAAGATATGCCTTCACTGCAGAGTTAACTTGGTTGATTGACAACCAGGTGTGAGCAGCCATAGTGCACAGCGATACTCTTTACAGTGTCCTCCCTAGTGCTGCACTAAGTGTGTGATCAATCACTTTAAAAAAAATTGTAATATAACCATTGCAGTAATTTGGCTCTTTACTTTAGTCTCAAAGGTAGACTAGAAATTTTTTCATGCATAAGTCCTAGAACAACAGTTTTGGCCCAGTTATAGTGTTGTTATTAAATGGTTAATTTGACCCATGTATATCCATTAACTGTGTGTGTGTGTGTCAAAGCCAAACCCTTTTTATTGTGGAAGTAAATAATTACAGCATATTCATGTAATTGCTCCAGGATCTCTTATTAACCTAGATAATTTTTTTACAGGAATAGTATTGATCCAGAGTCATTTGCTTTCTATACAAAACATTCATAGTGGCATCTTTTCGTTCTGTTAAGATACCCTTTCTCTGCTGGTGTTATGTGCTTCTACAATGATTGCTTCAAAAGGGTGCCATCTAGTGTCTAAAGATTGAAATGTGAATTGCGATTTATAAGGCAGTAGATGAGAATTTTATTAGGTGGTGGTGCAGAACAATTATTACATCATAATTCTTAAACTGCCCTGGAATAGTGTAAGATTGATAGAGGAAACTGTGACTCTTGAATGAAGTATTAAGGAAATTGAATTAATTGTTTTTCATCTGATGAAAAGAATATTAATGTGAGCCATGAGTATTATTTTAATTAAGTCAAACTTCTCTTTAAATGAATTGTGTGTGTTTGAGATGCACATATATAGCATTCTTGAGGTGCATTCAGCTTGTCTGTTTTTTGCTTGCTCATGCCTTCAGCGAATGACCCTACAGAAGTTAGATTTCATTTGTAGTATAGAAACTAATGCTGTCTTCTGGTTACATGAATATGTTGTATTGCCTTATAGTGATCTCAGAAACACAAATCTGTGCCTGATAAAATCAGCTGCTATAGTCATGCACATATGAGCAGTACCAGATTTTTTAAAAATGCATGGTAATAGTGGGAGAGATCTAACTACTATATATTTATTGAATTTTAAAGCGCCTGTTCCCATAATTGCTAAGTGCTTGCTTACACATTTTTAAGAATACCAAATAGTAAATTGCATAAAACCATTCAAAGGCTCAAAGTTGATTGAGTTAAATCAGTTTGATCAAAGTGATTTAAATTAGCATTTTAATCGGAATTTAAATCAGTGGGCAGGACACCTTGATTTACATAATTAATTTTAATCTTGTTTTGCATTTGTACTTTGTAATTATTTTCCTAAAGAAACATTGATTGGTAATCATTAAGACATGTTGATTTGCAACTAGACATAGGTTTTACACTAAATTTCGTACTTCTTTTTGCTAACCAGGAGGATGCTTGATGGCACAGATTTTTAAACTGTATCTGTAGTTAGTGAATCGAAGTACTTGTTTCTGGCCACCATGCCCTTCAGTTTTTTAGAACTAGTAGATTCATCCTCTCTCATTATTTTTATTCATAGATTGGAAGAAGAAAACAAGCATAGGCCTTAATAGGATGTTGTAATTTAAGTATAGGTTGTAATTTACAGTTTAAATAAAATAGGTTATTTTGAAAAAGAAAAATGTATGTAATTAAAAATCCATTTTTATTGTTTTTTTAATTATTGAATTTTTCTGCCCTGGGCTTTAAGAAAACCAATGTCCTTTTGTCAGGAATAAACCAAAATGCACAAATGTTAACACAAATAAAAATATTTTAATATAATTATATCAAGATCACATGTATGGAGGAAGTAGACTTGTAATTATAAATTACAGCAAGTTATTTAGTTTTTTAATTCATGCTGCTTCGGGGCAGTCTGGATTAAAGGTCTGATGCTGGAGCTCACAAGGATCATCCCCTGACGAAACACACTGTCTGCTATGGATGATGCTGAGCAATAGGCAGCTACGTGTCCACTTGGGCAACAAAGTCAGTTTGCCCCAGTTCCTGAACAACGGACTGCCATAAGGTCCAGTAGTTGCGCTGATGGTTTTCAATGTTTACATGAGCAACATGCCTCCAACAAAGTTATACAAATTTGCATGTGCGGATGACCTTGCCCTGGCAACTCAAGTAGCCATCTTCAGTGACGTCAAGTCCACCTTGAACAGGGACCTAAACATCAGAGAGGAATATTTCCAGAAATGGAGACTTAAGCCAAATCCTCACAAAACAACAGTCACTACATTCCATCTTGATACCAGGAACACTAAACACATCCTGAAAGTGACCTTCTGTGGCAACACAGTGCTACATGACCTCACTCCAGCAAATCTCAGAGTGAAGCTGGACCACATGCTAACCTTCCATGACCATCTGAAGAAGGTAGCTGCCAAGACGAAGACAAGAGTCAACCTGGTCCAGAAACCGGCAAGCACAAGCTGGGGAGCGTCAGCATCAGTGTTACAGACATCAGCGATAGCCCTTGTGTACTCCTTAGCCAAAGCCTATGCACCGGTATGGACCAGAAGCAGCCATACTCGACTTGTTGATGTCCAACTAAACACTGCAATGTGGTGCATCACTGGAACCCTCAGCTTGACCCCAACACCTTGGCTGCCAGTGTTGTCGCACATTGCGCCCCCCTCCATTTGCCATGATGCCACAACCCTTCAGAAATTTCAGAGGATCGTGGAAAATGAGCATTTTCCCATCCACCAGGACCTTAACAATGTTCTTCACCACCACTTGAAATCGCACAAGCCTTTTTGGACCCATGCATTTAATCTTCAGTAATGCAACTTCAACCCTGATGAAGCTTACAAAGCTGAATGGAATTCACAAGAAGTCACAAATAAACACTTCATGGAAGACTCCATGAGGAAGATCTCTGGCTTCGATCTCCCACAAATGGTTTAGGGCTGCTCATAACCTATCTGCACAAACCATGGCAGATGTGGATACTTGCTGCAGTAATGGAAAATTAAAGACTCTCCAATGTGTGACTGTCATCACCCAGAACAGACCATGGAACTCAGTGCCCAATTCACAAATACAAAGGAGGTGTCGCCAGCAGTACACTCTGCTACTCCAGATGCAATTATCTGGCTTAACTATCTAAACATAAAATTATAGTTGTTGCTCTACATTTACCTCAGCCATATGAAGAAGGAGGGTCAGAAGAAATTTTGAAAGGATAGGAGACAAATGGGAAATCAAAAGAGTCTAGACCAGCAGTTATCAAACTATGGGGTGGGCCTTCCAAGAGAGGCCCGTGAATGTGTCAAGAGAGGCACAAGCTGTGTGTGTTGTTTTGTTTAATTGCTCTGGCTGTCAGCTCCAGGTGTCTGAGGCTTGTGCAGAAGGACCATGCATACTCGGAAGCTGGGGATAAACGGGGAACCCTGCCACCTGGGATCAGGCTCTCCTTCCCCCCACCCTCCCCAAATCCCACACCTGGAGGTGGCAGGGCTCTGTCTGTCAGCCTCGGAGTAGCAGCAGCAGTACAGAAGTAAGGGTGGTAATGGGACGCTATGTCTGCTGTGAAAATTTATATTGATGAATATCACTTTCCCCATTGCTACCATTACTTCTGTGTTGCTTCTGGTGCGGCACTCCCTTCAGAGCTGGGCCCCCAGCCAGCAGCCTCTGCTCTGCCTTTAGAGCTTGGTGGTGATGTATGTTCTTGGGGAGGAGGGCGTAAACAACTACAGACACAAGGGTCAAATAAGTTTGAGAACCACTGGTCTAGACCCATTTCTAACAGTTCAGTCTTATTCATTTCTAGTTCATGATCAGTTTGTTTTCTTTCATGACAGATAACTGCTAATGTACTCCCACAAGCTTTTGGGGGTGAGCATCTATTAACACACCACTTCCCCAGCAGAGAATATATGAGTTAAAATGCAGAATGGGTGGCTTAATACAGTGCCTGTTCCACACCTAGGCCTTGATAGTGCAAATGCATACACATGAGTAGACCTGTGCGCATACAGCTAAAGGATTGGGGCCTTAGTCATTGAGTGTGAGTGGGGCTCATTTGTGAGGTATTAAAGATATATAAATACACATCTGCAACCACTCATATCTCAGAGGGGACTGCAGTACACTTCTTGTTATTTGAACTGGCAAATATTTAAAAGAATGCCTGTCTGAAGTTAAAATCACCTGTCTCAAACAAGTGCAGCGGTCATTATTTCAAGTCTTTATAAATGTTATTCTGACTTCTATTTCAGGTACTTCAGCTCTGAAGGAAAATGAAAGGTGGTGTTACTGAAGAACATATGTACCTGGCCTACTCCCACCAATTTGAAGATTGCATCTTTCCTCTCCACACATCAATATCCTTGTTTTTGCTGTCCTATTGTGACCGCAAATTATTCAAAGTTTTCTTAGTACCTTCTAGTGATGATACAGATGACCAGTTATTTGGTAAAGCACAACCTGATGACCTAGAGGTCCACTTCATCTCAAGGTGCCAACTCCCTTTGGTTGTCCAGAGCTGCTGTTTGCCTGCTATAGTTGAAGAAAATGGCAAATTCTGTCGAGCGGGGCTTTCTGTTGTGTTGAGGCACATAATACAGAAAACATATGAGATAGATCCATCAAAGAAGTTGGTTTTGGAACTTTTGGGGTTTAAAAAGACCTGCCTAAAAGCCTGTGCTGAAGTGAGTGCATCTTTTTCTGTTACATGTTTAGATATAGTTCACACTAATAATTGGGTTTCAATGTGGATGTCTGCTGGAATATCCAGTTAAGATATTTTATAGTACGGTTTCCTATTGTTGATACAACAGCAGCTGTATTGATTTTGGCATAAAAGTGAATGGTAATGATTTAAAACAAAAAAAAAAACTACCCCAAATATTAAACAATATAAGCAGCCTTAAGATTAAAAATATGGACTAGATCCTCAGGTGGTATAATGTGGTGTAGTTTCATAGAAATCAATGGAGCTATTCCATTTTAGACCCATTGAGAAGCTGCTGCTATGTGTTTTAAAAGAAATTCAGTTTGTTTTTTATCTGCCATGCTCAGATTTTAGGGTTGTGTGTGAGAGCTGGTGTTATTACTCACCCCTAAATCAAATCAGTGAATTTCATTCTTTATACACAGGTGTTCAGGATGATCTCAGTTCTTCAAAGATAAATACAGAATCCTGAACTAAAGTCTTGGAAGGTGTGTAAAAGAGAAGATAATATTTAAATCTAGTACATAGTAGTGTACATAGTGTACATCTAGTACATAGTAGTGTAGGTCCAGAACCAACCTTATGGGCTGCTTGTGCTAGGAAAGGCTTGATAATTTACAACTCGAGTCAGTCTAGTTCTAACATTAAAGAAGTTAAATGTAAAAGCAAAACAACAAAATCCCTTTGTTTTATACCATAGAAAGGGAAAAGCACTGCTGTGCAAAAAAATCCAACAAATGAAACTCCTATGGGCAATGTAGATATGGGGCAGAACATGTTCAATGAAGAGCCTACTCCTTACATCCCAGAAAGGGAGGTCAGGTACTCTAAGCTGTGAAACTCTTTAATGCCATTTTGAAATTCCATGTACTCATTTAATTTTTCAATATGAATATTACTTCTCTAAACCATCTTATTTAGAAGATCTGCTTGCTTGTTCACCACTTTGAAAAATAATACCTTCTTAAACTGTTCCTACATATATTCTGTCATAGGGTAACCTTATAGTCTTTAGTTCTGGTCTGTCCAGTGACCTCAGCTCATTCAAGTTTAATTGTATAATAAACCTTAGTCATGGCCATATTTACTCTGGACCAAATTCTGTGACATTAATTTGTTCTATCACCATGAAATATCCTTCATTCCTGTTCCCCAAAACAAATACAACTATTGCATATGAAAATACTCATTGATGTAAAATTTATTGGTGCTTATTTTCAATCCTGATTATTTTTGAAGATGGGTTTTTCATTACATTCTCCAAGTACCCTGGCTCCTGCCTTCGGTTCCCATAATGTCCGGAAGACCCAGCACAGATCCTCCTTTTATTTAGCTGTCTTCAGCAGCTTATCAGGGCCGTGGCTGCTGTGCTATTCTCCAGCTTCAAATGTCAAGCCTACATTTCTGTCTCCTCTGCTCCCAGGCTACAAGCTGGACCAGGCGCCTGCTTGCTGCCTAGGTCCAGGATTCATTGCAGGGAGCATACACTAATCTAATTAATTTCTTCATGTGAGGAAAACTGCAGGGCAATAGACAGCTGCCGGCAGTTCCCAGTAGCACGGTTTGACAGAAGGTAAACAAAATGTTGGGTGTCTGGCTGCAGTAAAATATTGAATTCCGTAGCATCTTGGGAAAATGCCAGATGATGCAGCCATGTAATTGTGGAGTCTTAGTGTTCTGTGTTAGATGGATGGGACTGTTCACGCTCAAACTATTATTTCAGATTTTCTGCAGATCCAGACAGATGACAATACATTGGTTTACACTTGGTGCACATTTACACTTGGTGCACATCTTACAACCATAAAGACTGGAAACAATATTTCTTTTTAATGAGAATGCAATAAATTCCATGGCTGTGGAATGTGCAGGGCATTGCCCTGAGAAAGATAAAATACTTCAAGCACATAATCTATTAGGTTCTGATCTCTTGTATACCTTGAACATCCAAAACTCCCTTTGAAGCCAAGAGGTATCAATGAGGCTGTATGAACTGAAGTCAGTGGCCATTTTGGGTTTGCAAGGAAAGCAGGATCAGAGCTTAAATCTATAATCTCAAAACTCAGGATAAAATTATTGAAAATGCCAAAATCCCATTTTTAAAATAGATTTAGGTATTTAGGCTACTAACTTTCATTAATGGGACTTAGGTTTTTCTAAGTTAGTTAGATGCTTTTGAAATATTTTCCCTGGATCTCAATTTTGTTAAACCTTTCCATAGGTAAACCCCTTCATTCCATCCATTACTACATTTTATCCTCCTTTTACATTGGTATAATTCCTTTGAAATACCATTATAATTGTGTAAAACTAGAGTAACATAATGGTAAGTGAGGCCCGATAGATGATACTAAAATACGGTGAGTGGGGGTAGATAGGGGAGTTGTATCTTTTAAGTCTATCCATGTATACAGTTGTTAATTTAGGATCTTAGAAGTTTTTTGTATTTAACAATAATTTCTGTTAACCTTTAATTTTAATACGCTATAAATTACATAAGCTCCTAAAATTTGGTATTTTAAGAAGTTATGAAATTTAAGCAATAAGCCAAGAGACCAAACAAAAATTAGTTGCAGGGTAGAAAGGGTCTTTAACTAACGATCAAACTAAATTGTATTGTCAAGATTGGGCTACTGTAAACTATTCTACGAAGTGGAATTGTCCGCTGGACATAGTACTTGGTGCAGACTTGACTAATAATAAACTTGTACTTCCTAATTATTACTGTTAATTATGACTATTGCTATTTCAAGCGTATGTACTCTTATCAGCGTTTATATATAAACAAAGGATGTGGAGAGCTTTTTGTTCTGTCATTTGAAGTGTTAAGGGACTTTTTTTTTTCACTTGTGGCACTGTTAAGAATTGGATTTCACCGATATAAGATTGTTTAGAGATATTTTGAAAAAAAACAAGGACACAGGTAGAGATCAAATTTTGGCTTGATATATCGTGCCATTCCTCAAAAGGGGCAGCATTTAAGTGTGTAGTTTGCAGATTATTACAAATAAATTGGGGAAACAATTTCCATGAAAATCCGTAACATTCCAGTGAAAAGAGATTATAATCTGAGATTATGCAACTAATTTTGTGTGTGTGTGTGTGTGTGGAAAGAGTTGCAATGGTGAAATAATTTTTATGAAAGTTATGACTTCTATTTCCCATAGCCCCCAAAAGAGTGATGGGAGTGAATTAAGAGACTCTGCTAAAGAAGAGTATTTGATGCCATAAATTCAGGATTATTGCACCGGTGAATAAATCCAACAAGAGGAGAAGTTTGAGTTTAAAGACAGTTGTAAAAAACTTGGGTAGAAATAATGGAGGAAAGTGGGGCAAGAATTAGAAAAATTGGAATTTTGTTAAGATATCATTACAGTTGGACTCCTATATCTTAAATTTCTGCCATCACAAGCAGAAAAGCAGTTCCAACATTGTGTAAAACATTTCTGAAATAGATTTTCTGTAAAATAAATGGCATTTGTGGGATTCATAGATGGTGCGATATTCTGTTTTTACTGGTACTCATTTGAGATGACCAATGTAATTTAGTCATGGCTTCATCTCTTCTGGATAATACAGCCATCCCAAATTGATGCTGAAGAAAGACATATATACCACACCAGACCAACATTAGTTCTTTTTATATATAAAATTTAGTTTCCAGACTTATACTGGAAATTAGTCTATTAAGGGTTTCATGTAAACTAACAAAAGCAAGGAAATTCAGAGAGCTTAAACTTCATCCTGTTCACATAAAACAATGTAGCATGCATATATATATGTGTATATGTACCTTGAGTTTCTGACATTGCAAGTACACATGGGAAGGCGTGGCATGCATGGCATGTTAAGGATGGAGTTTCAGCCTTTCCATAGAAGCTCTTTACAGGATTTAAGTTATGCCCTTAATTTTGAATGTCTGCGTTATAATCCAAACAGTTCTAATGAGACTGTGCTTTTTTATGTTTATATGACAGGTTAGTCAGTGGACCAGACTTTGTGAGATCAGCATCCCTCAGGCTGTTGAGAGCTTATTGAATGCATCTCCTGATCAGTGTCAGGCCATTCCACCTGAGGTTTTGCTTCTTGAGAAGAAGCTAGGAGAACCTGTCAGAGTGCACAATGATGACAAAATTCGACGGCAGAAACTTCAACAGCAAAAGGCAGGTGATAAGACTGCAGTGCCTGCCCTCGCTAAAAGAGCAACAAAAAATCTTAGCCCAGAAGAAATCAAGGACCAAGAACCTGCAAATCTGGAACTGAGAGTAGCTTTCTCAAAATTAGTTGTGCAGGAAATACCTGCTACAACCAACAGGGAGCCCTCTCACATCAGGAAAACAAAAACCTCTGATCTCCCACCTCTGGAGCATGTTTTTGCTGAGGGGCTTTATTTCACTCTGGCAGATGTAGTGCTTTTGCCATGCATCCATCAATTCTTGGTAAGAAAACAGCTTCTGTAGTTAATAAATAGTGTCCATGTCTGTTAGAGTCTGAAAAGTTACATAACTACTTGATATAAGACACAGTCAAGCAAAATATTTACTATGTAACCCTACGCAGCACAGAATAGTTTCCGTTAATTGTTTTGTATGTGTATCACAGGAAATGAAGAGTTTTCTCTATCTATAACTAAAAGGTAAAATATATGAGAGACAGTTGTTGGTAAGGGGCCAGATGAATCCTATATATTACTATTAGAGTATACTGAAATATACTTCTGGACACAGGATGTTCAAAAAGTGTTTCTTTTAATACTTATTTTAAGCACTTTCATTAGCCATTTATTTTTGTGCTGTGTGTGTCTTCACAATGGGCTGGGTCTGCTAAAGCAAAGTAGAGCATGACTTCTGTCACATCTGCCATTTGAAACTCGGTGTCACTTGGTGTCGGGCTCCTTTAAGGGGAGATGGGGCCAGCCACACTTATGCCATAATTAATTAGCTGTTTCCCAGACTGAAAAGGTGGGACTAAGGAGGTTTAGGTGATACTTAATGGACACCAGGCCATGTAAGAGGGCTAAAAAGCTCAACTTGGGCGGAACCACAGAGAGTGGACAGGCTTCTTTGGAAGGTTCTGAGTGAGGGTCTGCAGTAGACTGAGGGGTGCTAGAAACTCCGGGGAAGAAGTCTGAGAGTTAGAGCCAGAGACTTTAAAGATAACCTGGAAGGGACTAGAAACTGAGCCCGGAACAGGCTAGAAAGGAGCCCAGGTGGGGAGAAAGTACTTTTTTTTTGTTTGGACTTCCTACCTCAAAAGAGAATTGAGGTCAGAATGACCCATCTGAAGGACTGAGCCACATGACCTGCCAAGAGAGACAGAAAATCCTGGGGAGGAGGAAACTCAGGCAGGGAGTGCCTGCAGAGTCACACAGGGCCATCAGCGACCAGAGATGCTCCATGAAACTCACGTGAAAAGCTGTGACATCCCAGACAGTAGCCTCTTCCATACCTGAAGCAGCATACCAAGGAGAGGGGGAAGCAATAGGCTGGGAATCAGTTGTGATCCAATCTGAGGGGTGTGGCAAGTGAGAGCACTACATGGAAGATTAGAGAAGTCTAATCTGGGGATCAGGAGAGAGGAAGCTATGTTTATGTGGGGGGGCTGGAGTCCATCACTGTGAAGTTTGCAAATTCCAGAAGACTCCTGTCATGAAGCAAATCCTAAATATTTTTTTAAATGTATGTAGATTCCCAAACTAAAAACTTGTTAAACTGGGTTTACATCTGTAAATACCAAATACTTAATGGGTAAAAAAACCCTTATTAAGAGAATACTATGCTTTTCTCAGTTACTAAGGGTAACTTGTAAATTCAAAGTTAAAGTTACTCATAAAATCAACCACCATCACTCTGTGTGCTCAATTAATCTTAATTTTGCCTCTCTATGCCGAGGATACCCCCAAATCAGGAGATACTCCTGTTTTCAACAAAACACATCTTTATCTCATCTGTTACACCAAACAGTTAGCATGAATCAAACTAAATTATTTTTTGCTTGTTGATAACTGATTCTACACTGCTGTAACATTTAAACCTAAGTTCATCTCTTACATTGCTACAGCAAACAAGTCCTGTCTTTAAAACCAGACACAACTGACAGAAAGAGACGTGTCTGTATCTTTACTGTCGGTAATCAGATTCAGAACAGTCTTATGAGACAATTCTCCAGCAATAGTTAGAATTTCAAAATGTTTTAGTAGAGTTTGTCTTGCCTAGGAAAAGTGATCAAGTTTAGGTCTAAGATGTGCTAGTTAAACTTGACCTTAAACTCAACCTTTTTCCTACTATAAATGGAAGATAATACTTTGTAGTTTTAATTCAGCTGGTTGAGTTGTAGCCTAGCAGAGTGAATATTTACTAAAGTTGAATACACCCACTTTATGATCATGGGATCTGTATGCTCTCATTAAGTGCAAATTATAAATGGGGATAGAATTATAAAATGAATAATTTAACAAGATTAGGAGCCAAAATCAGGATGTCTTAGGCAGCTTTTTAATGGACGTTCAATTAATAAAAGTGCATTGTAATGAAGGTAAAACAAAAGTAAGTAGGAGTGAGAGAGTCACAGCTATAATTTTCCTGCATGCTAATTCTGACAACAGCATATTGGTGGAGCAAAGCAAAATTTGATTTTGATACAGTTTTGTTGTTTCTCTTGTTTATATAAATGTTACCCTGAATTGAAACATTTTTCAGATGAAACATGAATCTTTGTGATCTTATCAGGATGTGGGTGGACAGGTCTAAAAGAAAATGAATGTCTCTTAGAAAAGTGAGTGTGTTTTTTATGGAGGAAGTGAAAGGAAAGGAATGCAGAGATGACAATGGCATTTTAGTGATATAGCACCTTGTCTTTCCTTTCACACAGCAAAATTTAAGTGTTATTCAAGTATCATCCAATGGCAAACTTCCTCAGAGGTTAGTATTAAAGTTTGCCCTCTAGTGATCTCAAATTTCTTGAGATTTTCTTGGAGCTAAACTTTCAGATTTTTTTTTCTTTAAAAATGTATCCTTTTATAATACCTTATTCATTTTGACTTCTGACAGCCAGACTGTTTGTTCTCCTTTTTAATTTTTTTATACCTAATTTTTCTTTTCTACTATTCTATCATTATTGGGTACTTCCTGATACATTTCCTGTGGGACGGAGGAAATATCTCTTTGGCTCTGTTGTGGAGGTGCCACTGATTTATTACCTGTCCAAGGTTGGTTTTGCGACAAGTACACTACTGTAGCACTTGTTGCTAAGATGTCCATATATAGGAGGTCCTGAGAGAGAACATTTTGACGGGTTAAAACTAAGAGATTGTCTATGCTGGGATTTCTTTGCATCAGTTTAGCTATACCACTGAAACCAAGATAAACCATACCTCTGCAAGTCACTTTTTACACTAGTGCAGCCCCACACATGTAAAATGCACTTGAAAGAACATAGCAATGATATCTGTTTCATTGGCCATGTTCAGTATTTATACTTCAGAAAAGTTTGATATCTGAACTGGTCCATGGAATGCCTGTTAGAGTCTATTGCCAAAAGGAGAGTTGTGTGAGTTTAAGCTTTGTATTTTCCTAAATTTTTTTGCTGGTGGTTGAAAACAGACAGTATGTTCTCCCAGAACTGCTTTTATCAGGTTCATAGAAGTAATCTCCAAAATCAAGAAAAGCACTTACTCACATTGGTACATGTAGTAAAACCCGCTATATAGCTCTTTGCAGTAAAAACATGATCTCCAGATGACTCTGTGTATTGTCACAAGAATTTCCACCCAAGAGTAGCAATAAGGTTGTTCCTTTGAGTTGTGAAGAAGTTATTTTACAGTAGACTCCAGATTAGAAATACATCAGTATTTTTTTGTTTTTGTTTTGCAACCATAGGTAATTGAGGATTATCAATTACCTTTATAAGGATTGTTTCAACCAATAAAAGCTACAAAACAAAATGTTTTCTTAATATTTTAAGAATGATCAGATCTTCCAGCCTCATTCATTTTTCCGAGACCTTTCTAAATAAGCGTAGCATAATTTTTTATGATTGTTTGACTTATTGATGCCATGCCTGGGAAGGATTCTGGATCAGATGCTCGGTGGATTTCAGTAATCCAGTAAAAATCTAGTCCTTGTGTCTGCTCAGGGAAGTAAAAGAAAACAATGAGATGTGAAAGGAAGAAAACTGAGGGGGTAAATAAAGTATAAAGACTAGGAGTAAGTGGAAAGTGGGCACAATAGGTAAGTGTGAAGAGAACCAAGGATGGCAAGAGGTGTATTGAAAAATACTGTTTCTTTTGTTTATCATTTTTATAGTGCAAATATTTGTAATAAAAAATAATATAAAGTGATCAGTGTACACTTTGTATCCTGTGTTGTAATTGAAATCAATATATTTGAAAATGTAGAAAAACATCCAAAAATATTTAAATGTCAATTGATGTTCTGTTGTTTAAAGATGCAATTAAAACTGTGATTAATTGCAATTTTTTTGAGTTAATTGCGTGAGTTAGCTGTGATTAATCAACAGTCCTACATGATATTACTTATTTGCATGTCAGTCCTACCAACTGACCTTTGAAAAATCCTAGATCCACTGCTGCCCCAGAAAGACCATAGTACATTATTTAAACAGCCCATTCTAAATGCAGAAAATCAATTTAAAATGAACAGATTGTTTCAGTACAGATTAGTTGATGATGATGCAAAATAAAAATTACAAACTAGTAATTTTAAAATCCAGATACAGCCAGCTCTAAAGACGACAAAGTATTTTATCTGATTTTGGCATTAAACCCTTCCTCGTTATTTACACTCACAGTAATTCTCCCAAGTGTTTATACACTGTGACCGTAACCTATGTAATGTATCCTATACATGTAATTCCCATTGGCACTATCTGAATCGTATGTGTAAGGAGAGATGTACACTAATTGGTCCTCATTTTAGACCATCTAACCACTGAAAACTAAGACTGAAATAAATTGTCGTATCTCAATTTAAACACTTGCACACCGCATCTCCAAGTCAGCAGGAGAGAATGCAAGATTTCCTTTCTACCACACTTAGAAATGGCTCTGTCAAGTAAGCTCTTCAGAGTTGAAATATTGTCTGTAAAATGGCCAGCATGCTTTATGAGTGCTATATAAATAACAAAATAAAACTCTTATCTATTTTAACGGTGTATCTTAGTTATTTTGAAGCCCCTTTTCCCTTCAAGATCAGTTTAAAATATGAACCAGAATTAATTATGATGAACTACACTCAGCTTTGTTTTCTCTCCCTTTCTTCTGCTTTTTGGAACAACTAAGTGGCTACTTGGTCCAAACAGGTGGTATAAGGATTTTGGCTGACCATTCATACTTTACTTTTCACTATTTAATCCTGGGTTCTTCTTCCTTCTTCTGCACCCTTTTAAAGCAGAAACATCATTACAAACCAAAGTTATAACTGTTACAGTAGGGAGACTCCCAGGGGCCAGACTCATAATTATGATCTAATATTTGGGCAACACAAAGGTGTTACAGAATCTGTCCGCAAATGGACAGCAAAAAATTCCAGGTGTAAGGGAAGGTGCGGGGAGCTTCCAGGTGCTGTGAAGCCAGCTTCTGCCCCATCCACCTGTCCACCAGCATCCATAACATGTTGGGGAAAAGGGAGGAGCAGAGCTTTGCTCTATAGTACAGCTCTTTTATTCTGTGCATTTAGTGCAAAAAATTGCATTACTAAGTAAGATTTCTGCTTTATTGTCTAGGTTTTCAGTAAGAAGCACAACAAAAATCTATTAGATTTGCCTTTGATATCCAGTTGGTACCACAGAGTTCAGGAAGTGCCTGGAGTAAAGAGCGCTGCTGTCAAGTGCAATATGCAATTTCTCCAATTTCCAGATTTGCTGTCTTTCCCAGATGAGCAGCTGAGAGACTTCGATACAATTCCTGATGACTTAGAGGAAGAACATGAAGACAATCAGTTTATAGGTGGTCCAAGGCCAACCATGACAAAGTTAATGGTAATTCAGCATTTTAATTTATTGTTTTCGATGATGATGATGATATTATTACAGTTCTGAATTTAGGATAATACAGACCTCTAAGTAGTAACTAGTTAGAAGTGCTTGGAAAACACCGTTGGAAGCCTTAATCAGCTCATTAAGGGCTATTTCTATATTCTGGCTTCTGTCTCAGAACTACTGAGCTATAATTTTTTATTTATATATATATTTGTAATTTAACCTCTGAATAAAAAATGATAAAGTTTGTGACTGGAGGAAACCAGATTATAAAATTATTAAAGTACACAATGGTATTGGTATATATATTATGAAACAAACAAAAAAAATTAGGCTGTTACAGAACCAAAAATAAAATTGTCCTTTGGTATTTAGTTTTAATATTCTGTCTTCTATGATTTTTTCAGTTTTGTTCAGAGCTCTGAGTACCTTAAAACCCAAGTAAGTTTTGTCAAAGAAAATTTAAAAATCTACATTCATTTCTGCGTAAAAGATATGCATAGGAAGATGAAAGCGAAAGAAAATATAACTCCATGGTATGGAATGGCAGTAGCCCAACCATGTAGCTAAGGGCATCTTAGATCTTGATCACCATTAAAGTTGATGGGAACTTTGCTACTGACTTCAGTGGGCATAGGCTTAAACCATAAGGCCTGTTTGAATCTGTCTTTGAGAGATCAGGTTTTTTTCTTACCCACAGGAAAGCGGTATTGAAGCAAAGTTTTCTCCTCATCCCTGCCCTAGGTGGACCCTAGATTGGAACAGTCTACCAGCAGCAGTCACTCCTGGAGAAGGTAGGGTCTTTCTTTTTTCCTTTTCTTTTTCTTCAAGCTATTCCTTTAAAAAATATACTTCTTTTAATAAAACTACATAATGGTTTTAGTAGGAACAATGGAAGTGTACAGTACTTTCCTTGAATGTATGTTGTGTTTTTCCATTTATGTCCAATGCTATGTTTTCCACTGCAACTTCGTGATGGCATACTAATCAGTATGGTGAGTGTTGTTATGAATTATACACCCCCCCTGAAGCATCAGCAGATTCTAGTCACTTGCACAAGAAATCTTACATTAATTAGACTTGGAAACTTTGCACCATTTTTCTCTTGTGTAGGTTTACGATTTCCTCTTCAACTCCTCCAGCACATTAGGTAGCGTTCTCTGACTCCATAGAAGAGTTGGTAGGTTGTATTGAATTTGTACAGTTCCATGCACCACTGGGCCCTTTAATTCTTATTCGCATCTGTAAATTCCTGTGAGCCCAAATACCTGCATACTGAATTTTCCTGGGACTCTGAATGTTTTTGTCTGGTTCAAAACAGCAGTATTTCAGAAAATGATCTCTTCTCAGACCCTTGACAAATGTGTTTGGAACCTCTTGAGGCTTCTAGTTACTCAGACTACAAATGTGTTTTCTTCAAGGATTCAGACTTTTTTTCCCTTCATGGGAGATAGCTCCTCAGTCTGCCAGACATAGTGTTGTTTCACAAAAATCATTGCTGTCTATTTCCTTTTTCTCCTGTGTCCTGTGGGTAAGGCAAATTTTCCTTAGATAAGTAATTCTTCAACATTGTTTTACCAGTACTGCTTTAAAAATAAGGAAGTAAAAAGTAAACTGCCAAACCTCCACTGGAGGAGGCGTGGACAGAAGTGTAAATCAGTCTGTCTTAAGGCATTAATCCTAGTATTTCCTTGTTCACAAAACTCCCTTGAACTTCTGAGTTTTATCTTGAATTTTAGAAACCTTAATTGCCACATAAAATGGAATAATTTCCAGTTGCTTCAAATGCAAGCTAGGGACTGGATACAGGAATAGATTGAAAAGGTTTATGTTCTCTGATGTCACTGTGATGTAATCCCAGAGGAAGTTCCCCAGACAGTCAACACCAGGAAGAATCTAAAGGAGTACTTGTGGCACCTTAGAAACTAACCAATTTATCTGAGCATAAGCTTTCGTGAGCTACAGCTCACTTAGCTCACAAAAGCTTATGCTCAAATAAATTGGTTAGTCTCTAAGGTGCCACAAGTACTCCTTTTCTTTTTGCGAATACAGACTAACACGGCTGTTCCTCTGAAACCTGAAACCAGGAAGAATCTGTCAGTTTAAAGTGTTCTCTGTGGTCTCAAGGACTTGCTGTACATCTTCATTAAAAGTATAGTTGTGATGGCTATCTAGTTACATTGGCAAGGCTTCAGTTTTGGGCAAGGCCAGAGAAAATTAGGCAGTGCCAACAGAAAATGCCCACCAAATCTTAAAAAAAAATCTAGGTCTTGCTTTCAGCCACAAAAAATGAGCTGCTAGTGTTTGCTAGAAGGAAAGACTTGTGCTTTTTGGCAACTGGGTGTTTGAATTCAGAACAGGAACATGATTGTCATCTTATTCTTTCTGAGATGTATGACATCTTGTCTCCAACTGATACATTATTTCAGGGGTGGCCAAGCTGAGCCTGAGAAGGAGCCAGAAATTACCAATGGACATTGCCAAAGAGCCACAGTAATACGTCAGCAGCCTCCCCATCGGCTTCCCCCCCACCGCCGCTCCCAGCGTCTCCCACCCACTGGCAGCCCCACCGATCAGCACCTCCCTCCTTTACCGCACCTCCTGATGAGCTGTTTCATGGTGTGCAGGAGGCTCGGGAGGGAGGGAGGAGGAGTGAGGGCACTGCAGGCTCAGGGCAGGGGCCAGGAAGGGGTGGACTGGGAACAGGGCCTGCGGCAGAGACAGAGGTTGAGCAGTGAGTACCCCCTGGCAGATTGGAAAGTTGGCGTCTGTAGCTCCAGCCCCGAGTTGGTGCCTATACAAGGAGCCGCATATTAACTTCTGAAGAGCTGCATGTGGTTGACCACCCCGCATTATTTTATGTACCTAGTTTTTTATCTAGATTGCTTAACCCAGTGGCCACAAGGATACAATGTGTTTTCAGGAGTGCACTAAAACAGTTTGTAATGTTAGAAGTCATGGCGACGTTTTGCAGGCATCTCATATACTATCCATTGTCTTCCAAATGGTTACACACTTACCATAAACTATTCATAAAGCCATTGGAATTGCAGGGAATTTTTGTGTGAATCTAGTTCACTTACAGGCTTGCAGGTGATGTCATGGACTTGTACTATATCAACTGATACAGGTAGCAGGTTCTGTGTTTGTTCATGTAGGTTAGTAACCTCTGGAATTTTTTTATTCACACCACCACCCTGCTGGCAATGGTTGTTCTTGAGATTCTAATTTACAGGCTAGTTTCCTGAGCAGACATTTCCAGAACATGTGGATTCTGAATGGGAATTGCATTAGGATGTCGTAAAACAGATATTGGGACATGCCTATTCCAGATTTACAACTGCAAAATGAAGAAATACATATCCAGATAACGAGGAGTTCTCAGGGAAGGTACTCTAAAGATGATGGCCTAAGAGCATATTAGAATCTTAATGCCAGTATACTGCTTCTGTATTTATGTGAGCTTTCTAAACAGACTGTTGGAATCATGATGATAATTTTGGCCCTTTCCTGACAATATTATTTTACCTTGAAACATAGGTGCTGGAATTCTGGGTGTTGCTGCACCCCCTGGCTTGTAGTGGTTTCCATTATTTACAGGGTTTACAGTTTTGGTTCTCGGCACCCTCACTATAAAAATTGTTCCAGCACCCCTGCCTTGCTAGGACCTTGGCAGTCTGCTGTACATGGATTCTGTGTAGGCAGAGAGCACTTAGAAACAGGTCACTGGTCCTGAAGTACTTTTAGGCTTTTCATGGGCGGTTTGACTGCTGTATAATAGAGTTTATATATTTGTATATAAACTTGTATAATAGAGTTTCTCTTAAGTCCTACATATACTGCCAACCCCCATGAAGCTAGTGAAAGGTAACATCCCTCTGCAAAAGTGGGAAAGGTTTGCTTTCTTTTTTGAAAAGCACAAACATCATTTTAGAGACTGGTTGAATGGCCAGCACACTGAAATAACAAATTCAATCCACTTAAGACCCACAAGGGCGTATATGCAAACATTTCCTCTTTATGTGGAAATAAGATCTCTTGCCATGTAATATTATTTTGTGGTGCCCTTCAGTTCAGAAATTGGTGGCACCTGTGTTTGATGTAGGTGCGATCCTCAAAGTCCTGATAGCCCTGAGCTGCTTCATGAATAGATTTATGGTTTATAATTTAATATATCTGTCTTCCTAAGATTAACTTTCTGTTGCTGGTTTCCTGCTGAGAAATTCTCTTGCTGGAAAGTTATGCAACTGCTTGCATTATTGTTGCCCAGTTTCTTTTAATATTTGAAAGAAAAATAACCTTTAAGATAGGTTTCAGAGTAGCAGCCGTGTTAGTCTGTATCCATAAAAAGAAAAGTAGTACTTGTGGCACCTTAGAGACTGACAAATTTATTAGAGCACAAGCTTTCGTGAGCTACAGCTCACTTCATCGGTATGCATCCAGTGAATGAGCTGTCGCTCACGAAACCTTATGCTCTAATAAATTTGTTAGTCTCTAAGGTGCCACAAGTACTCCTAACCTTTAAGATAGAATCTCTCAGTATTACATAATGCTGTTTCAGACTTCTTGTCAGTTTGTGGATAGAGCCCTTGTGTTAAAATAATTTTCTAGTTTGGCTGATAAATTGCATAAAGGTGACAGGTAAAAGTTATATTAAAAGAGTCTAACGTTTGTGGAAGTCAAATTGATTTTTTTGTTTGCTTCCTGTCTTTGAATATTGGACTGGCAGTTTCCATTCACACTGTATCTAGGTGGCTGATTCCTTCTTTTGGATAGGAAAACGTCTGAAGAGGTGATTCATAAGGGCCATTATTTTTTGGAAATTTCTCTTGTTCTGGATCCAGTTTTCTGGGGGGGAAAAAAGCAGTCATAATTGACAGGGTATCCTGCCCATCCAGCTAATTCAGGGGTGGGCAAACTTTTTGGCCTGCGGGCCACATCTGGGTATGGCAATTGTATGGAGGGCCATGAATGTTCACGAAATTGGGTGTTCAGGTGTGTGTGTGGGGGTGGGGAGGGCGGTGAGGGCTGGGGCTGGGGTGTAGGGAGGGGGATCAGGGCTGGGGCAGCGGGTTGGGGTGCGGGAGGGGGTCAGGGGTGCAGGTTCCAGGCAGCGCTTACCTCAAGCTGCTCCCAGAAGCAGTGGCATGTCCCCCCTCCAGCTTCTACATGGAGGTGCAGCCAGGAGGCTCTGCGCACCGCCCTGTCTGCAGGCGCTACCCCTGAAGCTCCCATGGGCCACGGTTCCCAGCCAGTGGGAGCTGCGGGGGCAGTATGCAGAGCCCCTTGGCTGCTCCTATGTGTAGGAGCCATAGTGGGGAGGGCATGCCACTGTTTCTGGGAGCCGTGCGGAGCAGGGCAAACCCCAGACCCCACCCTGGCAGGAACTCGAGGCTGGATTAAAACATCTGGAGAGCTGGATAGCTAAATGGAGGAAGAGTTGGGGGTTTTTCTGGGGTTTTTTTGGAAGCGGATACCTTTTCCTGCTGGCAGGCTTGCTGAAATAGTCACAATAATGGCATCTGCACAATGGTTATGAGTGTTTTATTCAATCCTAGTTTGCCAAAAAAACCTCCAACATTTCTAGTTTTGTATCATCTTTGGAAATATTATTTAGGGAATGCCATACCATACCATCCAATAGCTCACCAAGTGTGCCTGCAGTGGGAGGTTTCTGCCTCCCTTCCCTCCCAAAACAACTCTACCTTCTTTAGCAAGATTGGAGAGGGACCCCATGGATTATGATTTCTGTACAGAACAGTGGAACCATACTGAAGAAAAAAATATATAGGTT